ACACGCAGTTTCTCTGTACTTGAGAAGCAAATCATTGCAACTTGAAAATATGAAAATTAAAACTAAATAAGCGTGATATGACTAAAATTGAGTCATATTTTTGAACGCATTACTCCATATTTCACAGTATTATTTAATGGATAACGATTAGGTCTCCTATAAAGCCGCAGTCATGCACTTTTATGCATAAACGTACTACAATAACAGGCACAACCCCTCTAAAATCTCAAAAGTTCAACGATATCCGCTTAACTATAAATTATGATATTTTATACACATGTCGCTACTGTCACTACTATTTTAAAAAGTGCTGAGGGCAAGTCGCGCTGTTGCCTATTCTATCTGGGTACACATAGGACTGCGTTTGTGAACAAGTATTTTAATTGCAGCATGAAATATATTAGAATAACGAACTGTAGTCAAGCTCCAAAGTCCATTAAACAATACAAAGAGCAAGAGCCACTTTTGGCCATATTTGGCCATGGGAATTACCGAAAAATCAAAACTGCTCAGTTAAAGTTGCAAATGCAGTATTTATCAGTTGGAATGTTGGTGACCATCTTATTAATCATGACGTAATTTTCCATCTAGTCAATGCATTATGACGTCATAAAATGCGTAATTTTCCTCATATCCTGTAAATTTCTTTGAAAATGACTTAAAGTTGAAGTATTTTATCAATATTTCATATAGAGCACAACCTCTGATCCAAAATATGCAAATACATAATGAAAGATCTGTTTCTGAAGATCTAAAAACAAGTTTTTTTTTTTTGGTTTTTTTTTTTTTGGATCTTGGGCTGTGCTAATATTTTAATTTTAATTGCTGAAGGTTCTCATATACGCGTGTTTTCTGCAAATTTCAAAAACATTGCAATTTCTCAAATCCTGTTTTCCAATATCTGCATTCTCAAAAGAAATGTTTTATAGGAAATGAAAGCACCAAGTGTCTACTCTATTTTGATATATGAAATGGGAAAGAGGGTGATAGTTAATTAATTGATATAATTACAGGGCCATTCTATGCATAAAGTGAACCTAGTTCTTTAATTTAATATCAGAACAATCATGGACCCCTGAAACATCACATGTGGGATCAGGTTGCCATGTAGGATTTAGTATCCCCTACCACTGTGTTCCTTGTCATAAAAAGACATAGCTCTTCTAAATTTAAAGTTATGGAAAAGGTTAAATTTTTGCAAAAGAAAGCTAAACAGACAGATAGACAGATAAAGAAAAAGGCATACAGACAGACGGACGGACACGATAAAACTATATACCCCCGAGTCTTTGAAACGGGGGGCATGAAAAGCAGGTTCATACAGGATTTGAACCCGGGGCCTCTCACATGCTAAGCAAGAATAATACCCCTAGACTATCGCGGCTTGACTTTTCAGTAGGTCACATATACATGTTTATATCACGTTGCACTTTGTCAAACTTTCACACAAAACATGATATTGTCTAGTTTAGCGTTTACTATTTGGATTTCGGAAGCTAGAAAAAATTGCATTAGTTTTCTACATAATTAGGTCCCTCATTCCTGTAAGTCACCTCAATGGTTGATGACTCAACATCTTATTTTTTATACACTCTCTAGTCGAGGGATTTCATTAAATGACCAAAATAAATACCAGGGCAGATTCAGAATTTTCCATGGTTAAATATTTTACATATTTCATTTTCAATTTAAACAGGTTAAGAATTTTTCTGTCAATATATTTCATGTTTATTTTTAACAGGTTTAAATTTGTCTACTTGTTATCTATAATCCTTTCATGATTAATTTGTGGGCATGTTATCATTTTAAATGTCTTCTATAAAATATTTAAACAGATTCCGATTTTGTATCTTATGTGAATTTTGGTGGTTCCTATAATCTCAATAGTATTTTAAAAAATCTTTTTAAGAAGAATTTCACAAGATATTTTTATGCTTGTAATTTTAAACAGAATAGTAGGTTTTGCAAAATCTCATAATCAACTAAAATTTTTGGTTTAGTAGTAAGTTCTTTGGTTATACGGGCCCCAGGTTTTTTTTTATTTACCAAGGCAATATTTTGAATAGTGTTTAAACTATTTGAATTGATGTTTTATGCTCATTTCGTTTCCAATAAAGATTGATGTTGTTTTCTATAGTATTGTCACATTTATGTTTAATAACAATGCTTTGACTGTAAAACCAGTGTTAGAATATCTTGAATTGCATTCCTAGTCACGGACGTTAGCATGCAGCAATCTTTCCTTGATGACTGTATCTTTCCCAGCTAACTTCTTTTGTATTTTTATGATTCTAAATTTTTGACCTTTTTCAAAATATCAAGTGTTCCTTGCGTCAGCATTTTTTTTAACAAAACAGAACCAGTTTGTTCCGTTCGATAACCTTTTTTTGCTTTTTTTTTTTTTTTTTTGTTTGTTTGTTTTTTGTTTTTTTTTACAAAAATATTGTTATTTGCAGATTAAAATCTTAAATAAACTTTATAAAATCATTTAAATGATTCAATTAATGAAATATAATTTAATGTCAAGCTCACAAAAATGTTCATAATTCTATATGTGTAAAAGATTAATGCACATTTCTATCAATGACAAAACTGTCTTTTAAAGTTTAAAACCAGAGAATGACGACCAATTATCATAAGCAAATTTTCCATCTCTGCCAAATGTCCTTATCCAGACATTATCATTCCTCTTTATTTTATGATAGCATATGAACATGCACTGTCATAATTAGAACTTCCTGTTTTGCCTTCGGTATGACCGTAACTAAAGTTTACGTGTCGTAGCGTTATAGGCTTTTTAAGACTTAACAGTCTCTGTTCTAAATACTTCAACGACATTCACGCCAAGGTTCTCCTGCTTTTTTGTTAAACATGAAAGGCAATTATTTCTGAAGCTATTGGCTTAAATCTTACTACAGGTATACATTTTTTAACAGTGAAAAATTTTTACACGCTACCGTATGAGTAGAATTTTTAGCGAAGATTTAATTTTGGCATTATTAGCGAGAGTATTGAAATCGCTAAAATTGAATATCGCTAAAAATTAATTGCGTTTTATTTGTAATAGCTTCTTTGATGAGCATTTTAAAATCGCTTAAATTACTTATCGCTAAATATGAAATACAAATTTTTACGGACAAATCGCTAAATTTTCGTCTCGCTAAAATTTCCACTTACACGGTATTTGTATGATATGGACTTTTGTCCATAATGTTAATTTGAATTTATTTTATAGATGTTTAAATCGATGGTTTAATCAATGGTTTAATCAAAATGACAGACACAGCATAACAAAATAAGAAAATTTTATTTTTGTTAATCTTTACACGTTTCTATTCATTTTCTAGAGTTATATTACATCTCTAAATACCAATAATTTAATTTTAGTTGTAACACGCCATTTGGTTGGAAAAATGATTTTATCCATTTTGTATAGCATAACTTGCCCATGAGTTACGTCAAAAAATGTCAAAAAACGTATTACTCCGCTTGACGTTACTTTTAAGATATGCTTTATTTGAAGTCTTTTTCCGGAGGAACTATTTCTTAATGTCTACGCTGAAAATTAAATAATAAGGAATGAAGCTTATTTCAACTTGTTATACGATATAACATAACTTGGGGAAGTTTACGCCTTTTTATGAACCTCTTCGCTTCCTGAAACATTACGAAAACTTGTTTTCTAAATTGACGTCATTTCACCTACTATGACGTCATAATATAGCACTGATTGAGTCAAGGTAGAATATTTTGTATGCTTCCTTATTACCTCTGCGTAGGGAAAAATAAGTCCTGATGTTCACCTGAAAGGTCACGTGCAGATGAACATTAGGTAGTATTTTTTCTACAATTTTGAATGTCGGCAGAAAGCCAAAAGCAAAGCATTATTCAATCATCTAATAAAGTAATTTTTTGTGTAGCGAAATGTTAGTTACTAGACATGACTTACAGATGTAAATACAGATATATATGACTGCACTACATCAAATTTTATTTCAATAAATATCAAAAACAGACTACGGATATGTCTCCAAGATAAAACTACATAATATACTTATCTTATACATATATATCATTAGATTTCACTGCAATAGTAATAGTTCTGCATGGCTTTAAGTTAAACAAGTTTGGCTTTCCAGAAAGCCTGAAATGTCATCTCTTTGGTATCAATAATGTCAAAGAAATAAAACAGAAAGGGAAATATTTTAATGCAATGAATATATGGATTATTACACCTGAAGTTCCCAAATGACTTATTCAGCAAACTCCACAGTAAAGTACAGTTTCTTTTGGCCGCAGTATATATATGGAAAGCATGGACGTCTGCGAGAGCACCCAAGGCGATTTTTTGTGAAATTTCATTCTAGCGGTATTTGTGCTTCTGGGTGTTTACAATTTTATACTTTAAACTCAAATACTTTCCTTGAACTATATTTTCTTAACACAATACGGAATTATCAACAATAATCATCATTCATTTAAAAAAGCAGCTAATCATTAAAGTTTGACAGGAATTAATTTAATAATCCAATTACAGACTAAAAAATTAACATAAAATTAGCGTTGACCACTCTTCATTCATTTTTTGCAGAATCTAATTGTAAGCTTGTTCTTTTGTGCGAGAAACAGTTTTCCCTTTCGCGTCAACAAATCTATATATAGATATCACGTCATTGTCAATTCTCCTTGTGTGGCTTACCAATTTAAGAAGGCATAGTATCATGAGTATTGAGGATCAATATATATACGACACACCGAAACTATAGATATTTATAAGCATCGTACTTCTTTTCTAAATTTTCCTTGGCTTTCAATAGGCCTAAACCGAAAGTAGATCTCACACTCCTAAGCTAGTTCTTCTAAAAGAAAACTAGTTTACAAGCTACTTGGAACTCTGTAAAAGATCGAGGACTCCCGAAAGATTAATGGAGGCTTACACTAGGACTTCACTTCCGGCATACAATCTTAATGTGTCATCTCCCGAGGGAGATGACAAAAAACATCTGAATTTTCTCTGTAGTTTGTTCAGTTGGGGTAAAAGAAACCAATAATACATGCTATAGCTATTATTACAAATGATTATGGTGATGAAAAATAACCATTCAATGCAAAGGTCGTCTCGAAACCGTACATATTTTTTCCATAGTTTATTAGTTTCCACTGCATATGCGATTGCTTTGAGAGATGCAAGAACTTTCTTAATCATTTGTGCCCATGAAATATCGACTGTCTTCATCTGAAAGATTTTTATCAGAAGACACAATAGAGCACACATATCCAACAAGGCAATTATGAAACGAAGAGTTATATAACCTTCACTGGTGTTGTTTGTTTGATACCATAGGAAGACATGAGCAACAATTGTAAGCGTGAGAACAACTCCTATAATGTAGACATACGTTTGCATATCACTGTCCACTCCATGACATTTATAGATACACCATCCATTTGTTATTAGAGATTCAAGGAAGTAAAATATACGCAGTCCTAAAAAAGATTAAAACACATAAATAGTATGATTATACCCCATTATTCCAACAGGAATGAAAAATAAATCAAATATCAAAGAAAGTTATGTTGTAAGAGTTGATATGCATGTGCTGAAAGGATCTCTCTCTCTCTCTCTCTCTCTCTCTCTCTCTCTCTCTCTCTCTCTCTCTCTCTCTCTCTCTCTCTGCTTCACGAATATTAACAGGCAGTTCATCCCGTTTGAGATGATTGTTATAAATAAATAATTGTGCAATTTTTATATTCAAAAAATGCTGTACATAATGAAACCGTTACCTTCAATGATGGTTTTTTTCTTCATCCCAAATAACCACATGTCTGAAAAAAATAAACATTTTTAAACACAAGTTAAACTGCATTAAAGTAGTAATATATTAGACAAAGCAACCTTAAATAATAGTTCTTTCAGCATTATAAATAAAATTTCGTAATGATTTTCTAGGCTTTGCTTATTACATGTAGCTGTAAGTACCCATTAGCACAAAAAATTATACAATTATTATATAGCTAATAAATAGTCTCTAATAAAACACCACCAAAAATCTAGAGAATTTTAGCGTCCAATATCTTGACGTTTTATTGAACGCTAACTTTGTATTACGTATATGAGTATGTCCGAAACATTCCGAACACGAGTGTTCAATATCGATGGCCCCGTTGTAAACAAAAACAAGAGGCCCATGGGCCACATCGCTCACCTGAGAATCTTTTGTCATGTTGTTCTTTACCAGATTTCCCCCTTGTAATACATATTGTGACCCCACCATATACCCAAATGATCATAATTTACACAATTTGAAATCTACACTACCCAGGATGCTTCCAAATAAGTTTCAGCTTTTCTGGTCCAGTGGTTCTTGAGAAGAAGATTTTCAAAGATTTTTCCTATATATTTCTATGTAAAATTTTGATTCACCATTGTGGCCCCACCCTACCCCCGGGGATCATGATTTGAACAATTTAGAATCTACACTACCCCAGGGTGCTTCCACATCTGTTTCAGCTTTTCTGGCCTAGTGGTTCTTGAAAAGAAGATTTTCAAAGATGTTTCCTATATATTTCTATGTAAAACTTTGATTCCCCATTCTGGCCCCGCCCCAACCCCTGGGGTCATGATTTGAACAATTTAGAATCTACACTACCCCAGGATGCTTCCACATCAGTTTCAGCTTTTCTGGCCCAGTGGTTCTTGAGAAGATGATTTTCAAAGATTTTTCCCATATATTTTTATGTAAAACTTTGATTCCCCATTGTGGTCCCGCCCAACCCCCGGGGGTCATGATTTTAACAATTTAGAATTTACACTATCCAAGGGTGCTTCCACATAAGTTTCAGCCTTTTTGGCCCAGTGGTTCTTGAGAAGAAGATTTTTTAATGACCCCACCCTATTTTTGTCTTTTCTTGATTATCTCCCCTTGCGAGGGGATATGTCCCTTCATTTTAACAATTTAAATTTCCCTTCACCCAAGGATGCTGTGTACCAAGTTTGGTCAAAATAGGCCCAGTGGTTCTTGAGAAGAAGTCGAAAATGTGAAAAGTTTACAGACGGACGGACAGACAGACGGACGGACGGACGGACGGACGGACGACGGACAAAATGTGATCAGAAAAGCTCACTTGAGCCTTCGGCTCAGGTGAGCTAAAAAGTTGTCTGGTCAAATTCTCAGAGCTAAATTAAAGAAAGGAATTGGCATCTAATAAGATGTGTTTATTTTTCACACAAAAATAAAATTGTTTATTAAAAATATAATACGTATTATACCCATTAGAACATAAATATGCAAATCATATCGCTCGGTAGGGTCATCAGAATGATGCGATATTAAACACTAACAGGACAGAATACTGATACTAAAATAACATTAATTTGAGGGTTTTTTTTTTTTTTTTTTTTTTTTTTTTTTTTTTTTTTTTTTTTGTTGTTGTTGTTGGAATAAATATTACAAATTATGTGGAAATGTTTAGCTATATAATAAAGGAGTTATTGAACTTGTATTGGTGAATATATTCACCAATATAAGTTCAATAACCCTATAATATATAATGATAGTTACTTGTTTAGACATAAAAAATAAATCAATATCTTATACAAGCAAAGAAAAGAAATCTAAACCGTTATGCATACCCATTCTTAATTTTTCTATTGAAATAAAAACTTTACTGTTGGTATCATAAATTCTTGCAGGCTTCAATTTTCAAAAAAAAAATCAGATAAAGGTCATCATAAAAGTAAACAGAAAGTTGTTTACACATTGTGATTAGTGTTAAACGTTATTTTTGCTGGGTATTTCTTTGATGTTTGTAAACGAATATTAAACAACAATACATTCATAAATAAGTCAAATGTTCTCGATTCATTTTAATTGGCTTACGCAATATTGTAAAGTATTAATATATATTATCTTTCATGACACTGATATCAAATTATTTTTTTTTCTTGTCTACAATTCCTTTACATTATTAAACCTGTAGGGAACAGCCCGATCAATTTTGTTGAGTGGGCGTCACAAACTAACAAAAACTCTCGACAAGGACACAAAGAGGAGCACAGCACACAACAATACCGGTATATTTATTTTTCATATGTATTGGCAAAACTTTTTCCTTCTGTCTCCGCTCCTGCGGAACCAATAAGATAATATGGTATATTGTAAGATATTTATTGATAGAGAATTATATGGTTTGTTCTTTAAATGGCCTTTTTGCACCCCCACCCCCACAAGAAAAAAAACTGTGCAAAGTTTATAAAATTGCGTAACGACACAATGTATTTTGAATTACGACGATGTTCACGTATAAACTGTATATTGAATTGGAAATTCCAATTGTTTATTTATATCCGTGGTTTATTTTTAAATCCTTGTAAGATATCGATTTACATAACATTTTCACTTCTACTGTATCTATCAACTTAAGTTTGAATAAAGTTTTTATTTGAAAAATTAATTATGATCATTATCTATATGAGATTTTAAGTCAATTGAGCAAGTTGTTTTTATATGGCTGCATTGCTTGAGTTTTAATTCATATTCTTAAAGTTTGTTTTAATTTTCTTCTTAATTTGATTTGCATTAGTTTATCATTTTTTTTTCAACTAACTTTAGTTAAAATAAGCATTTTTAAAAAAAATACTGGAATGTTTTATCTAAATACACAATAAATTCTTTATCCTTTACAGCTATAGACATTTCGAATGGCACATCATTGATATCTTAAATCATAGGGAAAAAAATCTATAAAAGTTGAAATTGAAGTTACCTGTATACTTTATGAAAATTGATTTACATATAACAACAAAGAAAAAAGCAAAATAAAACTTAACTGTTCAAGGTAAATTTGGTATCCTTATCGAAATAAATGTATCGAAGGAGAGTAAAACGGTTCAAAACTTCTAGCACTGAACCAGAAAATCTGGAAAAATCAATAAAGTATCAATGCTGTTTAACTTTTTTAAAATAGCTCTCGGTGTTTTGCATGTAATACACGTCCTCTGTGACGGAAAATTAAATGTCGTTTTCCTTATATTGCTGCCGTCCCAGAGTTAGGGTTGCTAAAAGATATTGTTTTCTTATGAATGTATTTGGAGTGTCGATCATTAAGACTTTTCTTTGAGGAACTTGAAATATGGAAAAACGAACACTTGTCAAGTTCAAAAGTCTTTTTAAACAATACAAATAGGTAGCAGAGCAAATTTGGACCTCTTAAACATCGGAGGTGTGATATGTCTCAGAGAGTACATAAGCAGCCCCTGCCGAACGGGAAAATCAACAGACAATTCAGCGTGTAAATAAAAGCCAAACAATACGAATGAAAAATGAAAAACTCAGTCAGAATTTAACTTACTGAATAATTGTATTTGCTGAAAAGGCAATTGTGTCAACCATTAAACTTTCTACACAAGATTGTTGATATTCTACTTTCATCAACTTGTTTATCAGTAACTTACCTCGTTTCAGAAAATTGTACATACGTATTCGTAGGGAACATGCTTTTGCGTGTTGAATCAACTTAGATACAGGACTCCACTTGTCTGCTTGTGGAAATTCGGACAGATAGAGCGCTACAGGTCGCCACCTTTTTGTCGGTCACTTCAAGCATTCTTTCTTGCAGTGTATGCTTTCCCTGGGTTTTAGAATTGTATTCGGTAATCCCTTTCTGTCATGAACCATTTTTACACTATTAACCACAATTAAATTAAATTGGAACCGTTCATAGGTAATCATTATTTCAGAATTATGAGTTCAAGATATGGAAAATTATCGGATGCCATTTTTCAGCAGAGTAAACATTTAAGAATATAAGAAAGAAGACCTTACGTGAGCGACAAAAAGTGCCGGCGTAAATCAATTTTCACAATGCATGGATCTGTAGCTCTTTGTTTTACCCGTATTTTCTCAAGCAGAGAGCTACAGTTCCGCAGTAATTGCTGAGAGATAAAACCGCGTATGTATGTGACAATTAAAAGGTATATGCTGCATAAGTCCAAATATGAAAGGGAAGAAATAATCACTAATTGACAATACGTCGACAATATATCTTAATGTCGAACTGAAGGCCACTGCAAGTGTTACATCTTCTTTTTCAAATATAAGATTTGAACAAGTTTGCGTCATATATCTGACTTATACACAGTAATTGCAACGCTACATGCACCCGCTACCCCTGTGACGGTTAAGAAAGCCCTGAAGGGATATGTCGATTTCTAAAAAGTGCAAAACTAATTTAAGATCTCGAATTACATAACCCATTTCCTAAAATCATCATTCACTATTTGTTATCTCAATTTTTTAATTCGATATCTCGAATTACACAATCTGTTCCCAAAATTGCCAATCATTTTCTAGATATGATATATCAAATAATACAATCTTTCTCTTCATTTAGACATCCCGTTCTCTTGGATTGCAATTATGGGATCTGCGAATCCCATTTTTGTACCAATGAATGCATCTTCTTTTACTCAAACAACCCATTCTGAATTGTGTTTTATTAAATCAATGCACAATGATGCTAATATAATAAAAAATTCTAAGACAGTCACTTTACTGGTACAAATATGAAGGAACTAATATATCGTTTAGAAAAAAAATTATGTAATCTTCTCAAGTAGGACCATTATTTTTTATGAAACGTTATGTGCACGTACACTTTGTCCTTTTTATAAGGTTTGGTTACAGCGAGGGTTTATTTCCATGTCATTTATCACAAATTGTAGTATAACATAACTTTTTATACATAAGGGAAATATTTATTAAAAGTGTTGAATATGTTATTATTTCCATGCTTATGAACACTTTAATATATAAAATTACGTATCATTTTCACAGAATGATCATTTGCAAGATTTAATTTGTAACTAAAGCTCTCTCCATTGTATTCAAATGGAATTTAAGAACAGATTGATTTATGTATTTCGTTTGTCCTTCTTCTAAGACAAAATGATTAACAAAGATAAGAATCTTAATCTAAACACATGAAAAATAAACAATAAATTTGCCTAAACAATTTGAATTCAAAACTAAAAAGGATGCAATTTTTCATATATGGTAAAAATAGAGAATCGTGATTTATGATATTTGCTACTCTGCAGTTACATCGATTAATTGTGCATTTCATAAAATGCATTATAGGTGCATGTAACAGGTTGCCTGAAAAAATAAATACGCACCATCCTGATGTGGAAAAAATACGAGACCAACAGGGTTACCTTAGCAAAATTTATCTGTTCGTGAAAAAACAGATAAACATCAAGAAAACTATTGAAAACCCGAATTCTATAATACAGTCCTTTTGTCGATCCTTTCTAATTTATTTGATTTATACCGGTATTGTTAACATTGGATGAATCTAGTATTTTTAAAACAAAAATTATTCGAGCACTTTCTAAAGTGGAAAATTCATTTGACAGACAGAAATGTCAAGAGGGCGCCGTTCTTTGTAAAAAAAAAAAAAAAAAAAGGCACTAAAATGAAAGGAAAAGCAACAAAAAATTGTAAAAAGTTAAAGTTACTTTTTATAACAGTTTTACGTGCAATCCATGAATATTTAATTTTGAAAGACTGCTTAGGATAAAACCTGAATAAAACAAGAATGAACATGAATGAACATGAATTTTCACAGGTATAGACGGAAGTGTTTTGGAATCATGAGATTTCGTGGTGGCTGAATTTTAGTGGAATTCATGAGTACTTATCATCTTAAAATTTCCCTCTAAGTTAAAAAAAAAATTAAGTAAAAAAAAATATGATTACAGACTCAGATTTTCTCTTGTTGATATTTTGGAATATGAGAATACATGAACATACGTCCCCATAAACCTATAAAATTTAACAATTTGCCAAAATTTACCCCAACAAAATCTCGTGATTCCACAGTATTCAGTATTGTTATGATAAGCTCTTGGTAGCGAATATATGTCTATTTTTCAGCTGTTTGCAGCTTTTTAAAAAAATTCTTTGAAACATTACTTATTTATGTAATAGATTCCTGAGCAACTTTTTTTCACGAGAATTATTATAAAAAGACAATATCAACTGCGAGTTGACTTTAGCTTTTCCACTGTCAACTTTTATCATTCTTGTAGTAATATTCCACTATTACCTCATATACTCAACCAAAAAAGAAACGCATATGGTTTCACTTATCAAAGAGAATTTGGAAAAAGTATATGGAACAAGAAGAATATGGAGATAACGAACATAATTCAATCTCAAAGTCCATAAAACAATACAAAATAGGAGCAGCGCAAACACGGACCTCAGAAACATCAGAGGTGGAATCAGGTGCCATGGAGGAGTGAGCATCTCCTGCTGACCGGTCACAACCGCCGTGTGCTCCTTGTCTTGATCGGGAAATAACGTAAAAATCCGTCGTCAATTCAGTGTACAAATAACTGACTAACAATAAGTATGAAAAACGTCAGTCAGCATTTGTTTCAATCATAAATTATATTTGCCGACAAGGTCATTGTATCGACCATAGAACTTACGAAATGATGACTGTAAACGAGACTGCTGATATTTTTGTTTCATCAACTTGCTTGTCAATAATTTACCTCGTTTTAGAAATTGTTCATACGTAGAGCATGCTCTTGCGTATCGAATCAACTGAGATATATACACTCCGTATACAGGTGATGAAGGTTGCTGCATAAGTAAGGGAAGATGACGATAGAAAAGTTAAAGTCATCACGTTTATCATATAGCTTTGTTGTTAGATTACCATTAAGTCTTTCTCAAGTAAAATATCCAAGTATGAAACAGATGTGTCAGACTCTGTAGTAGCTTTTAAACTCAAGCTAACCAGGATATACCTGGTATTGTATTGACGTAGGAATGGAATCGACCATTGTTAATTGACAATACGTCGTCGATACATCTAAATGTCGAGTTGAAGGCCACAGCAAGTGTTTTTTTTTTTTTCGTGCGTAAGATTTTGCACAAATTCTGCTTCATATGAATATAAAAATAGGTTGGATCAGGTGCCATGGAGGAGTGAGCATCCCCTGCTGACCGGTCACACCCGCCGTATACTCCTTGTCATGATCAGGAAATCACAAGAAAAATCCGTCGTCAATTAAGTGTATACTAGGAAATAATGGACTAACAATAAGTATGAAAAACGTCAGTCAACATTTGACTAATGATAAATTGTATTTGCTGACAAGGTCAGTGTATCGACCATAGAACATACGAAATGATGACTTTAAACGAGACTGCTAATATTCTTCTTTCATCAACTTGCTTGTCAATAATTTACCTCGTTTTAGAAAATATTCATACTATAGCATGCCCTTGCGTATCGAATCAACTGAGATTGACCATAGAAAAGTTAAACTCATCACGTTTATCATATAGCTTGGTTGATAGATTACCATTAACGTCTTATTCAAGAGCATTTTAGATATTAATTAAAATTCAACATCCAAATGTTTGACGTTATAATGAAATTAGCTTAACTTCGAACTGGTCCGTTCGAACCATCAGCGGCCTTTAAAGATCCCAATTTATTTTTTTACTAAAATATTAAGTTCCATCAATAAAAGTAAAACTTTTCTGACTTCGTGTTTCATATGAAAAATTTTGATATAAAATAGATATAAGATATAAATAGAACCTTTTTTTAAAAAACAAAAACATTATTGTCCACGACCTTTTTGGAGAACCCTTACATATATGTGCTTTGTCAGTTAGGTCATGCATAGAAGAATTTGCTACATTTTTTTCTCACAAATTATCGAAACAAAGGTTTTCAGAGAACATTTTATACACAATTGTGTTGTAATACAATTGCATCTTATCAAATACATATATAGACAATTTAAAAAGTTAGATAAAGATATTTTAGATCTTAGATAATTATATTTATTTGAAGTAATTTCTTCGTTGTCTTGATGATTTAAAATACTTCTTAACATTTTTCATTGTAGATATCATAAATCTTGTTTTGGAAATATAGAAAATACTCATATTGACTATATCATTGTTGTATTTTTGGGGAGAAACTAAATATTTGGCGATGCAGTCTTTAAAACTGAAACCGATCAATAGATCATCAATAAAAATAAATCAGATTGGTGGTAGTACATAATTATTTTAATGTGCACAAGCATTGACAAAACAAAAGAAATATATTTATTTATCTGCTTAAGGACAGATGATATAAACAAAAAATGGATGCCTGGATTGGTATATATTTTTTGGCCTAATTTCATTGCAAATGATGCAAATAATAAATTCCTAGAATATAAAGAAATTGTAAACCTTCTGTGATGTTCATAAGTATGCCCTTCTGAAACCATCCTTATTTATCTATACAAAAATTTTTCACTTCAAATTCCATTTTTGTGAAAATTTGAATAAAAAATCAAAACCTACGCTGTGAAAGTTTTTCGTTTTACTCATTTAATCATGACCCAAGTTGTTATTTTCAAATTTTTTGACAAAAGTTTGTTAGTATCATCTGTCCTTAAATCTCAAAACACTGAAACCAACTTAGAAAAACGATTAATTAAATCAAATTCTAAAGTATATATTTTTAGTGAGGCCAAATTGAAGCCAGGTCAAAATGGTATATTAGAGACCAAAATAGACACCAGGCTATGCCAATGGGTTTTAAAGTGGGTGAAAGTGACAATTAGGGGCAGGCAAGTAGATTACTGAGTAGTACTGTGTATCATATTATTTTTGTTTTTGATTCCTTATCGCCCTTTTACATAGCTTCATAAATCAGTTTATTTTGTTAAAATAGTTTATAATTCTATGGATCCCTAATACAATGCTGTTGTGTTGTATATTATACTTAGGCGGCTTTAATTGATCTTAAGTCTTTTCTTTTGACGTCCCAAACATTGAAAGCTTAAGAACGTAGTGTTTTCATATCAAGCCCACATTGATGAGAGGAAGGGTTGCAACTTTTAGAATGGCTCTTTCATTACATGTGCCTAATACCCAGTAGATAGTACAGGAATTTAAAATGATAAAAATACATTTGCAGATAGATATGAATGCAAGACATTATATATGTTGTTTTGTTTCAGTCTGAAAGGTTCATCTAAAATTAGTTTTATTCAATTTCTAAAAGCCTGGAGCAGATATAATTCACGGTTCTCCTATGAGACATCATGTGAAAGCTACAAAAATAAAAATACAAAATAATCCTTGTGTGGTAAAATAGACAAAAACAAGACGGCGGCAACAAGGTCCGAAAAAGATAGTTTAGCACATATGTCACTGTCAATGTCACTAGGTCATTGATCTTGATGTTAATTGAAAGAAATTAATTATTGGAGCATGCATATCAAACAGGAAGTCACTAACTCCTGTGGTTCAAATGTAATGATGAAAGTTCGGAAAAAAAACTATTTGAGCATTGGGTCACAGTCAAATGCATACGATCATTGACGTTGGTGTCATTTGAAAGAACTTAATTTGTGGAATATGCAAAGCAAATATGAAGTCTCTTTTTTTCAAGGTTCAAAATATGACAACTGGTAGTCAAACAAACAGGAAAAACAATATACGTCCTAATCTATTGATCTTGGCGCTAACAATTCCAAGAAGCTAACATAAATTGATAGGTTTATATTATCAAATTAATTCAGAAATTCAAAATTTTGATAAAAAGATTCTAATGTAACTTTCTTATACACAATATTGAAGATATCAGTTCTGTGCGCTTAAAAAATTGGTTTTGCAGTTCACTTAAATATCATTGCATTGACATTTTATTGTAGAAATGGAGTAAATTTATATTGCTGCATCCAAAAAACATGTTACGCGCTTCTGCAAATAAAAGTTCTATACTTGTGTTAATTATTAGATTTATAATATGCTAATAAATATTGTGTAAAAGTGTAGCAATCAAATTAAAATGGTTATGTAACAGTTATTTTGTCCAACTCTTGAAATACGAGAATGTGGTCAACATATATAAAACTAACAAAAGACCCCGCATTATTTCTAAGTTAAAAGCGAAGAGGTATGTCTTTCGTTTGAAGGGTAAGGATGCACACATATATTTTTCAATAAGATTAAAATTTGGTTTTCAAAAAGCAGCATACTATGATTGTTGCACATCACTTGTTTCTGATTGATTGATTGTATGTTGTTTATGTTCCTGTCGAGATCTTTCACTCATATAGAGATGTCACTACTTGCCGGTAGCTGAAAACTCTGTCCTATACCCGGCACTCAGGGCCATTGAGCAGGGAGGGATCTTTTTCGTGCAAGCACCTACTGCGACACGGGACCTCGGTTTATACGATCTCATCCGAAGGACCGGTCTCTACGTCCCACAGTGGGATTCGAAACCGAGACGTAAGGACCATTTCCTTACTTTGCCACTCTAAAGCAGACGCTCTAACCACTGCGCAACGCAGGCGACCACTTCTCTCTGTAATAAAATTTTAACCCACTGTATAATAACATCCTAGCTATGGGTTGAAAAATTATTACAGAATCAGGTGTCTGTGCTCTTTTTTATAGAACGAATGGTTAACAATCAAAACATATGTACCTTTTAGATAATTTTTTAAAGAAAAACGAGAGGTTTTTCTTCACATAAAATTTTCCTAGGTCCCAGATATCTCGTAAGAATAGTCCAAAACATCTGTTACATGGTTTTATGGTAGATTTATGAACATGTCCATTGCCGATTTTATGGTGTGTTCTCTATTTTCCATTTACTTTCCATCCAATGTTAATACATTCAGTTTGCAACCCATTTTCATTTCAAAATCTTTACATTTGCTGAATATGTTTTTCCTTTATATATTTCGGAGACCGTTACCATTAATCAGTGCTTGAACCACAGTAAGCAAGCCACCTGCGTAGATTTCTTGAACAGTGGCTATTCTATGAGTTATGAATACAATTACATATTCATCTTAAATGCAATATTTAAACAAATTAGATTTTATTTTGAATGATTTTTAATACAGATGTAAATATAAACAATAAAATATTTTCTTTGCTTGTTAGCAGGAGTATTAACGTCGCAGCTATTGCAGAAAAAGAATTGCATAACCCAATTACTCGGGTTATACGTATTTTTTCTGCAACAGCTGGGACATTAAAACCCGTACTGACATTACCAAAGAAATCATTTTATTCGTATTATTCAAATGAATCACAATCATAAATATGGCAAGTCAAACATTGCAATATTCGATCTTTCCATTTGTATTGTATAATTTTTAATTGTATTCTATAATTTTCTATTTGTATTCTATAATTTTCCATTTGTATTGAATAATTTTTCATTTGTATTCTATATTTTAAATTTGCATTGTACAACTTTTCATTTGCATTGTATATTTTTCATTTATATTGTAAAAAAAACATTTGTATTGTATAATTTTTCATTTGTATTCTGTATTTTCTTTACTTTACTGGTCACCTGTCTGTATATCGAAGATCAGACAGGCAGGCCAGTCTATGCTCAGACTAGATAACACGTGTGCACTTCCCGGAACATCTCAAGTATTACCAAATCCGATATATGATTAGATTAAACCAATGAAATCTTTTGTAATAAACCAAAATAAACAATCCCTTGCATACAGTGCAAATGAAAAAATATACAATACAAATGGAAAATATAGAATAAAATTAAAAATTATACAATTCAAATGATTTTTTTTTTCAATATAGATGAAAAATTATACAATGCAAATGAAAAATTATACAATGCAAATGAAAAATTATACAATGCAAATGAAAAATTATGCTAATCAAATGAAAAATTATACAATGCAATTGGAAAATTTAACAATACAAATGAAAAAGATCGAATATTGCAACGTTTGACTTGCCATACATAAATGCAGTAGGCATTTGGAATAAATTTACAGAGCGGTCGGTATTTTCTAAAGACATGGTTTAGTTTTTTATGTTTAGATGACGTCATTCATCCCCTGTATTTGCTCGGTGCTGATTCTGACAATAACTAGTGTCCACGTCGTAAAGGGAGGCTCATCAGGAGGGACTGTGTATACTCGCTGGGGTCGAAAGGACTGTCCAGGATCAGCAAAGTTAATATATTCAGGTAGGCTGCTTGGATACGGCTGGAATACGTCTTGATAGATTCAGAACACGGGTACTTGACTTTGCTTATACCCCCGAATTCGATTAATTTGGGGTATAGTTTTTGCCGTGTCCGTCCGACTGTCTTTCTAAATTTTTTTGTCCGCAGAACTTTATTCTGATCATAAATTTTGAGTGAGTTTGTCTATGGCTTTTATATTTCACAAATGTATTCCTCAATTGTGACAAGACCTAAGCCTTTCTTTTGGTACATGTACCACCAAATTTGACCTCTTTACGTTGACCTTTTAGTTTGACCCACATTTACCATAACTTTGAATTGTTGATGGAAGGACTTTCATACTTTACATGTATATTCATTTTTATACGACCTTTCAGTGAGTATAATATTTTTGACCTTTTGCCATAATTCACCTTAGAGTTTGATCCACTTCGCATTTTAAAAACTTTAATCTTGGTCATATCTTTTAAACAGTTAAAAATGGGGCTTTCATATTTCACCGATGCATTCTTTGTGACATCTTCAACCTCGTCATCTGGTGGCAACATTTTTTTTCACAAACACATTTTTTTAATTATTATAAAATTAACCCCATACCTAATAATATTGTTATGTGTGGGGTTATTTTTTTATATATAAGAACTAGATTTCTTGAGTTCAAAAATGCTTGTTCATTTTGAATCTTTAATTAAGGAAAGAGTGAACAAAAGCCTAAAGTTGCACAAGCAAATAATTTTTATGCCCCTGTAGTCGAAGATGCAGGGGTATATTGTTTTTGTCGTGTTCGTCCGTCTGTCTAGCTGTCTGTGTATGTGTCTGTATGTTTGTTCGCAAAAACATTTAACCTTGCCCATAACTTATAATTTAGTGGAGCTAATGAAATGACTTTCATATTTCAAATGTTTAATCCTTGTGACAAGACCTTCCTTTGGGTAACATAGAATTTGACCTTTTGACCTTGGAGTTTGACCAACTTTTACACAAAAATTAAAAACTTTGGCCATAACTTTGTTACAGGAACTTTTGTTTGATACCAACAACTTTGTTCTTTTGACCTTGGCCTTGACGATTTCCATACTTATAAAAAAGTTTAACCTTGGCAATAGCATTTGAATGGTATGTGCTAGAGCTAACATACTTCATATATGTAATCCTTGAGAGACCTTTCATTGGATACAAAGAACGTTGACTTCTGACATTGACCTTGGAGTTTGGCCTATTTTTATTTTTAAAAAACATCTACCATTTCTTTAAAAAAGTTAGGGCTAGGGCTTCTATAATTCACACATGGTGTATGTAATCCTTGTGACAAGACCTCTCTTAAGAAAACAACAACTTTGACCCTTCATAACTTTGAAGTTTGACCTACCTTTCAAATATAACTTTTGAACAGGATATGCTAGGGCTTTCATATTTCACAATTGTTTTTTCTTGTGAGAAGAACCTACTTTATTAGGATACAAATATATTTAATTTGCATTTAAGAACTAAGAAACTAAGCAACTAAGATAAGTTAAACCTTTGTTATGTTTGCTATACGGGGGCATCAGTGTTTCACAAACACATCTTGTTTTACATGTAGTTCTTTCTTTTAAAAGTGGGATGCCGTCATAGGTGACCAAGCGTTCCTGTAAATTCTTAATTGATGATCATTGAAGATCACATCGCCTAGCAGGCAATGTCTACTTGGATTGCCAGTAAAGTGACTGGGTTCCAAGTAGAAGGAGGAAGTAGTGCTCTGATTCAAGAATATCCAGACAAACCAGAAATTCATTCGTACTCCAGTTTTCCAATAAGATGGTTAAGACTAATCGTTTTAAGGTTATGATGACAGTCCTAGATAAGATTAAGTAAGATATTGAAAAGAATAGATAATTTGGTTGAACGCAGTATCAGGCGCGGATCCAGATTTTTTTCTTCAAAGGAGGAGGAGGTCCAAACTTGTCTGAAAACAAGTCCAGAAAATTTGTTGACAAGCCAAAACAATATTTCCTATATGTGAAAAGAAAAAATATTTTGTTGTAGGAGTAGGGAAAGCAGCATTCCTTCACGTTTTGAGCTTCAAATGTATAACTCTTCCAATCAATTTAACAGGAATCTGCGTTTGCTGGGGGGTCTAACTTCATATTTTTGTTACTTACTATGTACATTTAATAACTCTGCAAATTCCGGGGACACATGTCCGCCCCCCCCCCCTTCCCCTACTCACCTAAGCACCCACCCCTCGATCCCAACACGAGCATAGCTTAGATGAGAAAGACATACGACTGACTGGAAGAAAACTCATTTACTGATTTGGAAAGAAATGATTTTTCAGTCAATTATAGTTGGCAATTTAGTTCGTTAATAAACAGCTTAAAATTATTGTAATGCAGGTTTTGCTGGAGGATCTTATTATACGCACAAGGGCGCCGCGGTAGACCCACTCTGTTTGCCAACAGACCCTCAATGGGGTTCCCACAACAGTTGGAAGGACGGGCATAGAGGACTCCTTTATGGGGCTGAATACAAGGGTGTTCCTAGTGACTTTGTGTCCCATCTCGTGGATCATGACGTGCCCTGTGCTGTCTGCGAAACTGTCGGTGAAAAGTCCGTAATAGTTATTCCAGGTAAATCGAGGAATTTGTAGTAATTTTTACTCCTAAATAGAAAAGTCTCGTTATTTTTATTTCAAAGAATGAAGGACGTGGAGATAACCAACAGTATTCAACATCAAAGTCCATAAAACAATACAAAATAGGAGCAGAGCAAACACGGACCCTTAAAACATCAGAGGTGGTATCAGGTGCCATGGAGGAGTGAGCATCCTCTGTTGACCAGTCACACCCGCCGTGTGCTCCTTGTCATGATCGTGAAATAACGGAAAAAAATCCGTCGTCAATTCAGTGTTTAAATAATGAACTAACAATTAGTATGAAAACGTCAGTCAGTTGACTCAGTGATAAATTGTATTTGCTGACAAGGTCATTGTATCGACCAAAGAAGTAATAATTTTAAAACATCGATGTTTCTATCAAATCTACTTTGTCTACATTAAACCTGCAAAATGATAAATAATACTGCACTCCTAGTATATAAATTCAAATTAGTAAGATACTATGATGAGGGACCAATGAAAGGATATAATTTTCATTTGTCATGAAATGTAAAGCAACATTTAAACAAGAATGCTTTATAATTTTTAAAATTAACTAGAGTCATGTATTCTTGGTACATGTACAAGTTTCATGAATTTTCGTTATATTTTAGAGATTTATTATTTTATTCTGTCATTTCTAATCAAAATCAGTCAAAAACGTACATTAATCAATGCATCTTTTTAAAATATAATTTCAGCGAGAACATCTTGTTACTCAGGCTGGAAAACAGAATATAGCGGATATCTGATGTCCGGTAACTATGACTATGAGGCTGGTTCTGTATATTCATGTGTTGATCGATATCCCCAAACTGTGATTGGAGGAAGCCCACGCAAGAATGGTTATCTTTTCTATCTGGTAGAAGGAAGATGTGGCAGTCTAAAATGTCCACCCTACATGGACGGCTGGGAAATTACCTGTGTCGTTTGTTCTAAGGCATAGAACAAACTATTACAAACATTAAAATGAAAACAATGTCACTTTGATTTTTTAAAATTATTTTTAGATCACCCGTTCGGCCAAAGTGAGTATTTTAAATGGATAATTGTTTGTTGTTGGTCTTTGTCGTTAAATACTTTAATATTTTCATCTTCTCCATAAGCACTCAGTCTTGATCAATTTCAAACAAACTTGACACAGAGTATTCAAAGGTGAAGTATGTCCAAAGGAAAAGTCACACCGTTTTCCAAGGTGAAATAATTAGGGTTTTCAGAAAATTTGGTAGCATCTTTTAAAAATCTTATCATTACAGGAACAATGGACCAGAACAGACTGAATTTACGTGAAATCTTTCTGACATAATGTAGATTCGATGGGACCACATTGGGAGATCAAATACTTCTCCTAAGACAACACAGTTTATAAAGAGAAGAATCTTACACTGAAAAAAAATAAATCTGCCGTGACAAATTGATTTCAAGACTAATAGGTGCAATATTATACTACAAAACCAAAACAAATAATCGTGATTTATGGTATTTACTACTTGATAAATATCTCGATTAATTGTACATTTTTTTAATTAAATACTACTTTAAATGTAATAGGTTGCTTGAATAAATTAACACGCGATATCCAACTGTCAATGGATGAGAAAAAAGTCCTTCTCTTATGAGTAAAATGAATCTTTTCAGGAGAAATAAGTGATGCATATTATAAGACATATTGATTACGAATATTAATATCTACATCTATGTACATAAAAAAAGTAAATAAATAAGACTAATTTCATGCACTTTTTTTAAACATTCTGATCAAATTAAACACTAGTGTCGTTATGCCAGGTTTTTATGCAAAAAGAAAAATTCTAATTTTACTTTTATTTCTCCATTTGTTTCATTTCGATAAGTACGTTATGTGACATCGATTAGTTTAGGAAAGCAAATGAATTGTAAAATATCTAAGTACTTTGAAAGCTTTGAAATACTATGGTATTGTTCTCTTACCCGAATATTTTTGTAAAATATTTCAAGTTTGTCTTGTGTATATTTTATTTATTTTCAAACAATTTAAATGAAAAGCTTCGTATTTTTTTTAGGTTAAACAGCTCTATGTAGATATCCTTTAGTATTCAAGCTCAAAAGACTTTACAACATAAGAGCAGAGTAAACACAGATAATCTTGAATTATGCAAAAAATGGTGGGATCAGATGCTTTGGACGAGTAAGTTTTCTCTATTCAAAATATATCTGTAAATAAACCCTGTTCTTTGGTTGTGTGCAGGTGGACCATACCCGATGCATATTCAATTCCAAATCAGTCTTATAAATAATTAAAAATAACAAAACTGTTCTTAACTGAAATATGAGAATAGCAAAAGTAATTGCACTCAAACGTTCATTCAAACAATAAATCAATGAGCAGAGCAAACACGGACCTCTAGAACTTAAGAGATAGGATCATGTGTCATGGAGGAGTAAGTATTCCCTGTCGACCAGTAACATCCACCTTGTGCTCCTTATCCTGATTGGAAAACGGAAAATTCCATAGACAATTCAGAGTGTAAATAATAGCATAACATCAAGCAAGGAAAATGTTCTTCGGCATTTGACTTAATGACAGATTGTTAATTCTGACAAGGTAATTATATCGTCAAGGAATCTCTAACAAAATTGTTGATATCCATGTTTCATCGATCAACTTGTTTGTCAATAGGCTAGCTTCCCTATATTAAAATTTGTTCGTAGGTAGATCATGAAATTGTGTTTCTAATCCTTTTGTAGAAATAAACTTCAAATGAAGTTGATAAGTGGTGCATTGCTACATACATAAGGGAAGAAGTTGACGATGGAAAAGTTAGTCATTTTACTTGTACATGTTTATCATCAAGTGCAATGTTACCATTTTTTTCCCAAGTAAAATATCCAGAAAGGAAACAAACGTATCAGAGTCTATGAAAATGATATATAATCAACAATTGCTGAAACATTCAACGCAGTGCGAACATCATTTTAAAAACACGATGTCTACCCCTGTTGTTTTCGTTCAGACAAAATTGAAATATTCTTTGAATTATAAATAACATTTGAAAACTTTCAATTTTTTGTAGTAATAATCACTTCATTCCCCTTCACTCATCTCACACACTAAGAAAAAATCCAAAGATTAATGAGCTCTATTGACTCGGTATCTCAATACTTCCCCTTCTTTTAAGGTAAGAACCACTATAAATTCACGATGAAAATATGTCACTATATTGATTTTTAATTTTTAATATTCTATTTATTCTCGAGCTTTTGCCTAAAACTTTTAATATCTTCACATCTTTTGTGACGGTATGTTTTAAGGGAACTTTTTGTCTGTGAAGATTTAAGTTTCATATTTAAATTGATTGGTTCAATCAGTGTTTAGATGAGCTTTATGCTTTTAATAAAAACATTAATAATTAATAAAAATTAATAAAATTAATAAAATAATGATTAATAAAAACATATGTATATACGTGAATTTCGCGAAGTGAAGAGAAAACATCGGTGAAATGGTACAAAAATTTGCACTTGAAAATGCTTCCGAAAGTGTTTTGTAAGGGAAGGCAAAATAATGCGATTAGATGAAGGTTTATTATATATTTAATATCCGTGCAGAAGGCATAAAACGCGAACAACTAGAAATTCCAAATCTAGGATCACAGTTAGGGTAATTTTTCATGCCAACGCCTACCGCGGCCCCGGTGTTTTTCAATGTTACTTCCCAGAGACCCGTGACTTGTACTTCTAGAGCCGTGCGCTTTGCAAAGGAACAGTCCATTACTATGATTTTGTCTAATATCTGACTCGTCACAACGAACAAAAATCGAACCCGGGCATCCCGATCAGGAGGCTTGGGCTTTATCACTAGGCTTATACGTTTTTTTTTTTATATTTTATGGTCATTTTTTTAAATGGATATTCTTTTCCATTCATTATTTACTTATCTGTTCAAAGATTATCTTAAACGTATTTTCATAATACATTGTAATTTCCTAAGTTTTACACAATCACAAAAATCCATCCTGTAATTTTATTTTTGTAATTTTTTTTACGTCATGACAACAAATTAAATTTTATGTTTTTATTGTAATCTTTCTATATTGTAAAATAGTTTCTTTACATATATCTCTTATTTAAAAAAGGAGATTCATAATTTGGAATTATGACAATTAACATTGTTGTTTGATAAAACGGATATTAAAGTTACTGCTGAAACATAAACAACATACAAACAAAAAAATCCATTCAAGGGTTTTTTTCTTCACAAGAGAACAAGAATTGAAAGAAGTATAATCCACTGAAAAAGAATAATAACACAAATAATGCACACTATAGTATTAAAATCAACACAAATGGTTCTTTTGGGGGGATCAGATAGTGTGCTACATATAAAAAGCCTTTAAAGCCAAGGCTACCAAAATGCCATTCAAATATATAATTAAAATCCTGATAATTTAACACACACACGAATCTTTGTTTTTAAGTTTTAAAGCAAAATGGGTCTTAAATACTTCTTATTAATGAATTGTAATTAAGTGTTCACTGAGACACTGTTGATCACGAATATCCATTTTTCTCTAATACTATTTCCAAATTATGCAAATCTCTTGACTATTTCTACTAATTAATTTTTAGACATTAATAATTCTTAACAACATAAGTATCCAAAATCACCAAGAAGCTTTAACATTATTTACTAAAAGTGAAATATCCCTCTGCTCCAAATTTCACCATTTGTTTCTTTTTTAATTCCCAATATTGATTATCATCATCAACAACAGCACAAGATTGAAATGAAAAATTATTTAAAGTATGAAGCGATGCCTGTTATGTCCTAATGTGTCATTTCTTGATTTACATATATAATTATGTTAGTTATAAATTATATTTATTTTGATAGATCTGCATATATTTAAGACAATAATTCTGTTACAATTTAAAGCCGGTGAATTATGACCAGTCAGAATAAGCGTATTCTCCGTCTGTACCAACTGTTCTTATCCAGACTTCGTCTTTTTTCTACATTTTTATAAGAGCCGCTGAAGTTCCGGACGCCTAGAGAGTACTGCCTGACACACCCTTGACATGATTATGACCCATAACGTTACCGTTGATAACAATTTGAGTGTGGAAGTGTTTGTAGTGTTTCTACCCATTGTCACATTGGCAATGTCCTCTTGTACTTTTGTCAATTTTATAATATAAATCATAAAATACATTTATTTCGATAGTTTTGCATATTTATTGTAGACAATAATTCCGTTACAATTTAAAGCTGGTGAATGATGACCAGTCTGCATAAGCATATTTTCCAGCTGCACCATGTACTCTAATCCAGACATCTTCTTTCCTCTTCATTTTTATAACGGCTGATGAAGATCCGGATAGCCTATTAGAACTACCAGTCACGCCGTCCGCATGATTATAACCAATTATTTTTCCGTTGAGAACAATTTCAGTGTGAAAATATTTTCCCTCTGTTGTCAGAATCGTCCATTGGAAATAGTACAGCCCATCATCAGGTGCTGTGAATTTACCGGTGTTAGCGTTATAGGCATTTCCAGAGTTTTGCGTTATTTTTCCAAATACAACAACAGCGGTTGAACCAAGATTTACTTGTGTCTTCGATAAACGTGCATGAAAAGCGATGTTTTCTATGAAAAGAAATTTAAATATAAGCATCAAAGGGTATATGAAAAGACCAAATTATCCTTACTTTATTCTGCTTTTTGGAATATTTTTACAATAAGGAATGTAATAATAACATTGCAAACAACTTTGAAATAAAACTCTACATTCCAGAAGGATCTAGGCCAACGAATGAATATATCATGATATTTTTATAACGAAGAAATGTATCGTTTCAAAGGACTTCTGTCATATTTATTCACTTTAGAATTAAATCCATCAATGCAAGATCTTTCTAATTTGAAATATTTGATATCACAGTCGAATGTTTTTTTTAATTTGGCTTAGCCTGTGAAATCCTCTAATTTAA